AAAACCCCAAAACCCCAAAACCCCAAAACCCCAAAACCCCAAAACCCCATCTTTTCTGAGACATATTGAAACAGGGAAAATTTATATTATTTGCAATTTTAATAGTAGGATGATGCATTATTAATTCAAAGCTCGATAAGAATGTCTCTTCTATATCAAAGTCGAGTTTACGAATCTTTGTCCTACATACGAACATTATTAGGAGGAAAGTAGCTGATTATAAATGTAGTTTATAGTTACTTTTTGTTTCAATCCGAAAATAACAAACCTTCAAATAGAATTTAACCCTTTCAGAATGCCCATATAGTTTTTCAGCTATTCTAAAAGTGTAAGGCTGCAACTTTGTACCTTTCAACCATTTGCCTATTTTGTCGGAATACATTAAAAATTAAAAATTCGAATTAATTTAAATTTTAAAGAGAAGTTTCTTTTCTTTGAGAGATACCTCATTCTTTAATTTTATGTTAAAATTTTCTTTAAAGGCATTTTATGGCATAATGAACAAGAATTAACGAGGAGTTTAACTTATAGCATGAAAAATTATTTCCTAAATTCTTAAGTATTCACATCAGCAGTTTTAATTAATCGATTGAGCCTCCTGAGTTGTCTTTACAATATTTATCAACTAGATATTCTCAATCTTTCTCAATCAGAGGAGAATGTGCATTCTGTGAGCAATCTTCTGAAAAGGTGTCTTTTGATAATAATCTCCTTATTTGATCTCGTTTTTCTAGATCTTTCTTTTTAAGTCTTCATAAAACCGTGTCAATATATGGCATCCAACCAGAGACAATGATAAAGAAGTAATGAGCAGCCAATGCTCCTGCAAAAAGGTCAATACTGTAATGTGTCCTTGTGATTAACAGAACAAAAAGTTGCAGAAAAGCTGTAAATATTGCTAGAATTTGAAGACCTCTGAATAAAATTTTCTGATGAATCTCTTCCTTAGAGCGAGCTCTGAACTCTAATATCATAATTACTCATCCTCCGATATGCCCTGAGTAAAAAAAATCATTGGTCCGCCCATAAGGAACAGTCAGTGACGGAAACCCTGGGTACTCCCAGATGTATCCTTCTGGAAACTTCATTAGGAATATTTTTTGAACTACCATTCTCGTAAAATAGAAGATAACCATAACTATTGGAAGTCTCCATGTTTTTCCTTTAATCACAAAACTTAGCAACCCTCAGAGAACAGTGACATCCATAGCTAAGCCTCATATTATCATGAAAGCATGCTTCGAACTTCGATGGTCTTCAAAATACTTGTTGCTGCTTGAAGTTATCTCAAATCCCACATCTTTTATTCATTCGATATCTTCTGCAGGAAGGATTCCAGGTAAAGAAGCAGCAATTAGTAAGACAATAATCCCAGCAATGAGTGCCAAAAGTCTAAGTGATAACTGAGTCCAACTCCTTCCAATGAAGTCGATACGAGATTGTGGCCTTCCTATTTGGCGTGCCTGAGTCCTGACTGATGTGCTCATTCCTCCGGAAGGAGCATTACTTTCATTAAAATTTTTATCAAAACCTTCTGTTTGGAAATCATCCTCGCTACTACTTAGATTGTTGTGTGTTCGATTCATGATGAAAAGAGTCTGGAATTAAATATTATCGATTTCTAATTGTAATAATTCAGTTTATCCTTCTTTATAAGGGGTTTTGGGGTTTTGGGGTTTTGGGGG